AGAGAGAGAGAGAGAGAGGGGAAACAGTAACACACAGACTGGATGAAAAAAGGTAAAGATATTGATATTAATGATGATGACAGCAGTAATAACAGCAATAAGATATATCAAAGGCTAAGCATGGGTTAACTACAGGAGGGCTTCATTTAAATTGTGTTTGCACGCACCTTAGTTTAGTTTTGTCTTCAACTTAATGTTTCTTTTTGCAATAACTCAATAGAAAACTCAATATATATGTATATATATATACTTCTTTACCCTGTATATAGCTAGCTCTTAGTTCTTAGTTATAGAAAACATATTTATTGTGCAGGAATAAGGTCTTAGCTCTGTCACACTCTTGTTGTCAAGATTCACCTTGTGTTTTTTGTACATGACAATAAAGGAAGTATAAGTCTACGTCTCTAAGACTTAAAACCTTTAGATATCTGTATCCAGCTGCTGATAGGAGGGCGGCCGTGACCCCGGTTGCCATGGCTACCCAGGGCTGATCCACCACGGAAACGGCCACGCCGACGGAGACCCCTCCGGCCAGGATGGACGGCTGCATCTGGATCTGTTCAAACCAAAAAAAACCCACTGTGACTCTGTCTAGAGCAGGGTTTTTCAACCCCTGTGCCTCGGTACACTAGTGTGTGCCATAGAAAATCATCCTATTTCACCTAATTGGTCTAAAAAGATCGTTTGATATGGAATTAATTATCTGCAAATAATATTCCATTTTTGAGTGTCTGTGCTGTTCTAGTGACTGGTGGAGTAATCATGTAATAATTCATTATGACTAGATTTTATATATAATTTTGTATATTGAAGTGGACATGTTAAGAGCAATTTGAAAGAAGAAATATAAAATATGATAAAAATACATTTTGTGTTTATTTGATTCCTATTCAAGACACTTAAGATAAGATAAGAATAAAATAAGAATAACTATAGTGTTACTATAGGCGGCTACAGATTTGTTTAACATTTTTGGTTGGTGTGCCTCGTGATTTTTTCAATGAAAAAATGTACCTTGGCTCAAAAAAGGTTGAAAAACACTGGTCTAGAGGCTGAGCTAACGTTAGCTAACATGAGGAGTTTGTTGGTACCAGGTTCAGCTTCCCTGTGCGGCTGGAAAGGGAAGAAACAGCCGCCGCCGTTACCCCGCTGGCCGCCAGAGCCAAGTAGGAACCACAAACGGCCCCCAGCTTCCTGTCAGAGTCCACCAGCACCGCGTTAAAACTGGGCCAGAACATCCAAAGAAACACAGAACCTGGAGACCAGACACAAGGAGCTATAGTGACAGGATTTAAACATTTAAAGGAGTCATATTATACCCTATTTTAACAAGTTAAGCTAGTTCCCTGGTGTCCTAATGTAATGTCTGTGACAAGCTTTGGTCCAAATCCCATAAGGATGAAGCCCAATAGCAGTTCAGTCCCCCTGCCTAACCCTAACCCTAACCCTAACCCTAACCCTAACCCAAAACAGCCCCGTTCAGAGCGCTCGCTTTGGAGTGCCTGTCTCTTTAAATGCAAATGAGACACAGGC